ACGAATGAACTGAGGAGATTCTGTCGGTGGAAATGAGTCCAAATACGACATCATTCGGATTATTTTCAATAATATATCATTTTCATCCGCAACATTACGTATGAGTAACAATTGTCCAATTACACTCGAATTTGGACGCATTTTAATCGGGAGAATTTCTTCAGTTCATTCACGACATTTTCATTAAAATATATTGCAAATTGTAAAAGTTTAAATTTTCATTCGTGCGTAATTGCTTATCTCATCTACGTCTGTTTACGTTGTATGCCGATTGTCGGTCGCTGGTCTTGGACGTTCGGCGAAAATCCAAATCTCGCCACGAGCCGTAGGCCGTAGCTATTCCATCGTTCTCCTCACGGGTAGAATTGCATGCAGGACATGAGGCAACAGCGTCAGAAAAACGATACTGTCCGGCAACACTGTCTTCGCGTAGGAAATACTCAATCCCAGCTTGATGGTAACGAGGAACAAAATTTATTTGTAGGTACTGCCGCTAGATGTCGTATTAACAAGCCGTTCTGTGGGGATATCAGCGCCACTGCGCTATTCCCCCAGACACTCGCCTAGGGAGTCTGCTCCAACAAGGTTGGCAGCGCCAACCTCGAGCCATATATAACCAAGAGTCGAGACGCCTTTTCTCTCTTCTTCCTCTTTTTCTTCTTCCGCGCTCGACTTCCGACTCTCGGTAGAGACGCACGTCTCTATCCGCCGCTCCCGATCTCAGGATGAATAAAATTTTCTTTTACAAACACGTGTCATAATTCAGTGATATCCTCGTGGTCCTCTACACCGTTCTGAGCAAGTTGGCTGCTTTCCAGTTACGCCGGTCACCCGTACTGGTAAAACCCAACAGTTCCAAATATCGAATTTGTACTTCCGCTGGCGTCCGATTGTTTACACCCGCGCTTCGATCGATTCGGAGTTGTCCCCAAAGGAGTCTCCTTCCGGTGTTCTCGGCAAAAGTCTACGTCACGCTTTTACGACGCGACGGCCGAGCGGGCCGAGTGGCCCAAGCCAGGTCAAAATCCCGTATCCCAAGCAATCTAAACTTGCCTTGGAAATCCTGTTCGAATACGACTGCGGCGAAAATTCACGTTCTCGACGCGATGCCCCGCAACCTAAGCGCATCAGCAACAGTCTGGAGACCCTGTTCGGATCCCAATGCGGCGGTTTTACTTTTTATTTTCAATTATTTTATAATTTCACTTTGTAACCTCTAAGTAAAATAAAAAAGTTAAAAAATATTGATTCAGGAAGCATTTAAAAAGAAGAAAATAAATGTTTTCCACTTCAATGTCTAACTTTTTTATTATATACATACATATTATGTTGTATACACATAAATTATGTTTACAATTAGATGTTACCCGCTAAAAACCGCTGCAGCTGGTCCACGTATATGCCGAATGGTCTCTTGGTTTTCTCCATATGAATAGAAAAAAACAATTGAAATAGTAATTTTAATAACATAAGATAAAATATTAAGATTGCTATGAACTTATTTTTTTTTTGTTGAATTATTCTGTAATTTCGCTTCCTCACTTTTGAGTAGAAGTTTCGCAGCAAACGAAAGTAACGAAGTACGATAGTCTTTTAAAACTATTTAAAATGTGCCTCATTGTAATATTTTGGAAATTCCTTTATTGCCGGAAATTTTCTTTATTGACAGAAATTTCGACGGCTAACGGTAATGAATTTCTAAAAGCTATTTCAACGGTAAGGGACTTTTAATTAGCTCCATCGTAGACGTCGTCGAATACGTTATTGTCATACGTTATTTCATTATGTCAAAAGAGTCTTTTGAAAAGAGATAGTTAGGAATTTCAGGGGATTTGAAAGAAGTGCTTAGGCGCTCGAAAAAACAATATACTGCTAATAGTGATCCGCTATAGACTTTACAAAGGACCTGTTAAAGGTAACCGTGCGTCCAGTTCCAGGTAAGTGAGCCGCTCGCGCGGCGTTTACGATCGGCCGAATCGTACCAATTGCACCCTTTATTACTTGAAATGAGGTCTAAAAAGATTATCGATAGGTCTCGTACCCGTCTCAGTGGTGTCACTTAAGGTAATATGGATTGCAACTGGTACGACCGGCCAACCGTAATCACCGCGCCTACCTTTAACAGGTTAGCCGTCGAAATTTCTGTCAATAAAGAAAATTTCCGGCAATAAAGGAATTTCCAAATATTACAATGAGGCACATTTTAAATAGTTTTAAAAGACTATCGTACTTCGTTACTTTTGTTTGCTGCGAAACTTCTACTTAAAAGTGAGGAAGCGAAATTACAGAATAATTCAACAAAAAAAAAAGAAGTTCATAGCAATCTTAATATTTTATCTTATGTTATTAAAATTACTATTTCAATTGTTTTTTTCTTTTCATATGGAGGAAAGCAAAAGACCATTCGGCATATACGTGGACCAGCTGCAGCGGTTTTTAGCGGGTAACATCTAATTGTAAAATTAATTTATGTATATACAACATAATATGTATGTATATAATAAAAAACTTAGACATTGAAGTGGAAAACATTTATTTTCTTCTTTTTAAATGCTTCCTGAATCAATATTTTTTAACTTTTTTATTTTACTTAGAGGTTACAAAGTGAAATTATAAAATAATTAAAAATAAAAGGTAAAACCGCCGCATTGGGATTCGAACAGGATTTCTTAACTGTTCACGCGCTTAGGTTGCGGCGCATCGCGTCGAGAACGTGAATTTTCGCCGCAGTCGTATTCGAACAGGATTTCCAAGGCAAGCAGTGATGCCAGAATCGTGGGTCGCTTTCCCCCACTCTTTTCTAAACATAGCTCGCCGTCTCTCGAACGGCCTGCGCACATGGACAGGGCTGAGATATACTTGCGTGTGTGTGCCAGCACGGTGGACGTAAAGTGGGGGTAGCCAGGCGTCAGCACACGAAATGATTTCTGCGCACGCGCTCTGGTTGTTGGGAGTCGCGTTGGTAACGTAGATCTTACGGAACACCCGAACGGGCCAGCTCACACGGATAGAAGCAAAAGTATACTTGCGTGGCAGAAACTGTGGAATAAAGTGGGGGTAGCCAGGACGTCGTGGTGATGGAAGCAAGTTCCACGATTCTGGCATCACTGCCTCTAAGCAGTGATGCCAGGACGTGGGATTTTCTCCCACATGGGAGCCTTCGTGCGCATGCGCATGCTGACGTCACAGCTCGACGGCGGTTGTTTCCATGGATGTATCTATGTGCAACAGTAGGTACGCGTAAGGGGCCCTTCCCAGTTGTTTCCCGCGTTTTTCGTTAAAGTGAAGGTGAGTCGCGTAATGTTATATAATATATTGAATTGTAGTGCAATATTAGTGTATTACAGTGACAGAAACCAGAAGATGGATTACCAGCAGCCTAGTTCGAGTGGATTGGCGGATAAGAAGAGAAGTAACAAAGGGAAAGTATTCCAATTATCTTGGCTAAAGAATAATATTTTCAAAGACTGGTTAAAATCTGATAATAATAAAAAAGCTTTCTGCACGGCTTGCAATAAAGTCTTGGCATGCGGAAAATCAGAACTTATTAGACATTCGCGGACTCAATTACATATTAAAAATACAAGCAAAAGCTGTGATATCACACCATCTGTTTTATTACCAAAAGTTGATAGTAATTCTGATTTGGACCATGTTAATAAAGTCAAAACAGCCGAAATAAAGTTAGCTGCGTTTTACGCGGAGCACAATATAGCTTTTCAAACAATTAATCACATGGTCCCTTTATTAAAGGAAACCTGTTCAGATCCGCAGGTGGTTAAGGATCTAAAATTGTCACGAACTAAATGTACGCAGATAATAAAAAATGTAATAGGCAAACGCGAAAGCGATAAGCTTATTACAGAATTAAAAATTCAGAAATTTTCAATATTAATTGATGAAAGCACGACTATATGTTTTATATATAATGTTCTTTGAATACTAGTAAGGTTTTCTGCAGTTTTTCTTACTCTCGCAACAAATGTTTGTATTCATGTAATAAATCGGCTGCAGATGTACAAAATAATAAAAAAATATATATTCATTTATTTCCATCTAAATATGTTATTTCTTTTAAAAATGTCCTCTTCCTGTAATTTCTACCGTATTTCAATTGTCACGGGGGTCTAACGATACCCCATATTTGAGTGAAGTATATACGTTACTGAGGATTAGGTAGTGCGCATGCGTGGGAAAAATCCCATGTCCTGGCATCACTGCCTCTAAGGCTCTAAACTCTAAGCCCTAAGCTACTCTAAATTGAACAATAGTTTTGAACCATGAACGTTGGTTAGGTTTTTTGTTTACTCGCGTTGAAGTAATTTTTGTTGATTTACAATGAATTGAGTATAACTTTTCTCATTGTATGAGCTAGTATACAACATTCACTATGTCTACGGATTTTATGAATATTGATGGTAATATAAAAAGAGTGCAGAAGGAAACTTTAACTCCATATAAAATAGCAACTGTCATTTTAATTAAGGAATATTGCAATGAAACGACAAAAGGTAAATTAAAATACATTATTGCCTATTACGTTTTTAATAGTGTTTCTCGTATTATAATAAGAATGGACTAATGAATCATGTAGATCAATAAAAATGTTGCAACATTAGTTTAATAATCTCATGTATAATTTAATGTAAATTTATGTTTTACTAATAGTATATAATTATAAGAATCATATAACAAGTTATCAATATTAATTTATCAACTTCATTGTAGCAATAGTTGAAAGACGTGACTTTTGTCTGGCAGCCTTAAAATTGATTCAAGTAAGTGCCTTTGTTTATTGTAATGAAGAAAGAAATACTTATGGATTTATTTGTCTTTAAAATACTTTCTTTATATGTTGTATATATTATTGATTTTTATAAAAAATTTGAATAATCTAGTTAGATATATTAAACATAGAAAGTTACTTTGAATTATTTTTCTTTTAGTCACCAGACATGGAGCTCAGTGCACTTTTAAATATATTGTATTCCCCTGAATACATCTTACATCGGTTTGCACATCGATTGGAAATGCAATTAAATGTTTTAAAAGAAGATGGAGTTGAAGGATTATTAGATTTGTTTGATAGTGTTGGGCATCTTATGAAACCAACTTTGGATCATTCTCTTTCTTTGCCTGGCTTAAATAAAAATTCAGTTCTTGGACTGTACATAAGAAGAGTTATTATATTTTTCGAGAAGTTACCTTTTGATCAAGTTGTATCGCTTTACGAAGTTTTGAAAAAATATCTAGAAAGGAAAGCCAATACCTCAGAAAGTTCAGATATTTCTACAGGTTCCAAAGCAGAGGACACATATACACATGAGTAAACTTTTCTTTCATACAAATATGTAATTCTAAATCATACACTTTTCTGTTACTCATTTTTATATTGCTATATTTTATATTGCTAGCAGAGCAAAAACGACTTGGGGTGGAAGACAAGCTGAATTACTTGTTGCACAGCAAGCACAGGCATTACAGACAGATGAACATAAAGCAATGTCCCCTACAGAGTTACAAATTCTGGTACGAGAACTATTGAGTTGTAGTCCTTACTATGCTGAAGCTGTGAGTATTGTTTGGTAAGGAAAATACTTTTTATGTTTTCAACATAAGAACATAATTAAAGCATTTTTTCTTTATATTGTTGAATGTTTTTCAGCATTACTTAAGTTACTTAAATTGTTTACGAGTAAATGAATACTGTGGAGCCATAGATAGTCTTTACCATTGCTTTGATAGATTGGCACCCCTTGAAAACAGAACTGCACCTGAAGATAGATCCCGTATTTTTAGATATGCTGCTTTAAATTTAGTAGTTCTACATGCTCAATTTAATCATAAGTAAGTATGCATATGTAGTGTTGTGTTTCATTATTTTCTTTTAGACTAATGCCAACAAGTTTTTTATAGAGAAGTAGCACTAGCTGCTTTAAAGGAAGCTATTATGATGGCTCAAGAAGCAGGAGATAATGTGTGTTTGCAGTTAGCCCATGCTTGGATGTATCATTTAACTACTGAACAAAAGTATGTGACAATATTTAATAATGTATATTAATCCTAGAATGGCACATATAAGTCATTTATGTCCATGATGTTTCTGTATTTTGGAACTTTTTAAAGATACTTTTATTTGACATAATAGTTCTTCACCTTAAAAAATCTGTAAAGTAAACAGTTTTTGCAATAGTAATACAGGGTGTGAAAGTTCAATATACATATATTGAAGAACGAAATTCTAAAATTTGATAATTGAAAAATACTTCATTTTCGAGTACTCAAATAATTTAACTTTTTAATGTTTAAATAATATCACCCAAAAATAGTACTTCATCAAATGTTATACATTTGTTCATGTATCCACGAAACTCAAGTTTGGTTTTTAAAATAATTAAAACATTTCAGAAGATCATAAGTTTTCAATATTAAAACCATTTGGAATAGCCCTGAAATTATATGTGTAAATGTTTCGATAATTTAACTATTTGAAATAATGCAGTGTACTGTTCTTTAATGTAATTCTCTCCTTATAATCGCGTTTTTGTCGACCCTCTGTCATTATTATTTTTGCCATACTACAGAGTCCTCGCGATTATCGACTCTGTTGAACTCGGCATCCGCATACTTTGTTGCCGCAGTGCGCCGAGACGGAAAGAAGCTTTCTCTCTGTTTTTCACTGGCTTGTCCTTTTCTACGTTCAGAATACTACAAAGGCGAGTTGTCGAGGCTCGAACTTCGAGCAAAAAACGTATTCACGGGGGTCAGAAGCGTTTCGCGTAGCCACGATTATCGTCCCCTCGCGGACCCGAGTTAGGGACGATAATCGAGAGGACTTTATATGAGGTTTTCATTCTGTTTTATTCGCTCATAGCTATTCCTCTTTATACATATGCATAGATCGGGAAGTAGTGAAAAACTGGCCGACGAAACAAAATCGTATCCTTCGCTCTCTACAATTACCGTAGCAAGGCCGAACGGCGTGATTATATGGAGAGAATACAATTGATCTGAATCAGGTTCCATATGAGTTACCCATGTGTGTCATTTAAAGGTCCCAAAAATGTGTCTATTATTGCAGGGTTGATCTAGTATGTATACAAATATGTGGTAATTATTATTACTCATGTTATATAGAGGGCTTCTTATAGAGAGATCAGTCGGCAAAGCAAGTATGTTAGGAATCACCCACACAACTGGTTTGGGTCTTATTGCGTATGCCCATAATTCTGCTTTAGAAGCTAAAAACCCATCGCAAGTATTCGAGGTACAAATCTAAATACAATTTATATTCTTGAAATTTCATGAATGTTTTACTAAGATATAATAGTGGTTTATTATTTGATACTAGACTCTAATGAAATCTGATGTTTTAAATTGTCAACATTCCATGACTGATTTAATGTCAATGACATATGCAGAAAAATCTGCATTGTGGGCATATTACGGTAAAACCGAAATGTCTTCGGTTTGCGCGCAGTTACTTCTTTTACACAATACAGGGGATAAGAAACAGCCCATGTTCAATGGGCCATCTACTTGTCAGGCTGTTGTTAATGTTGCAAATATTTTAGTTGAATTTAGTGAATATTCTTTTCTACTTAAATGTTAGTTTTTGAATGCGCATTTGATATGTATAACTTTTGTATATCTGCAGATATGGATGCTTGGTGAACAACTTTATATATTTACTCAGTTAATAAGACATGAGAAATGGAGCGAAGCTGAAACAATAGCAATGAATATTTCAAGTCTAGACCCTTTGGAATGTAAATTCAGGTACAATGAAAATGTTATCTACTTATTAAATATCACGTTACATCTACTATCTAAATTTGTAGGTTAGCAGAAGTTTGTTTAGGAAAAGGAGATTATCCGAAAGGCTTAGAGTGTATTGACAGCATTGAGGAATACGAACAAATAACACCGCAAAATAAAATAAGAGCTATGCTTCTCTTAAGTCAAATAATGCACGCGTCCGTTTCGCCTGAAAATGGAATGGCCGGTGTTAATTCTTTGGTACCCCTTAATACAGCATTAGAAGTGGCCATACAAAATCATTTGTCTTATTATGAAGCTCTAATTAAAATGCATCTTTCAAACACTCAGGTAACTAAATTAATGCATCGACTTTAGCGATGAACTTGGTTGAAGAAGCCATTACTCAAATTTTGGCTCATGCTGGATTTTACGATCAGGGCAGAGCGTTCGTATTATATGCGAAATGTTTAGTTGCTACTGCGCCTATATGCGGCAGTGCACGAAAGGAAATTATTTTAAAGGCTATTAAAGCACTTTCTAAAGCAAAAGGCTGTTTTACGAAAGTTGAAGCTTATGGTAGGCTTCGAGATACGTTATGTCTAGAATCTTTGTTTTGTCATGAGATCGATCTTAAGATTGAACGAAACCAATACGCTTTCGAGTTCCGTCAGTTGGATGAACAGTTTCTCACAAAATTAAATAACTTGTCTTTGTATTAGAAAAGAAATAAATTATAGAAAATACGTTTAAAATATTCGTTGTATTGTCATTTAGTATTCAGAAATTAAACGCTGAAATACAATTTTTTTTTCAAATATCTTGCTTCTTTATTTTATATTAAAACAAATTGTTGTTGATTAATACTGCTTATCAAATTATAGCAATGGACCGTGAACATTTTTATATTAATAACGCAGTCAGGACTGCTGATAAAATTATTTTTCATTTTATGTATGTATTTCTTTTTAACTGAAAAATAATTCCTGGAAAAATTATTGTATCGTTTTTCAAAATATTGATCTATCTATATTTTGAAACGAATGCAGGATGTACTGAAACGGGAAGACAAGGTAAAGCGAGAAGATGAAAATGACAAGTATACAATGGAAACATTTATTCATAGAATCCGTTGCAAAGGTACCACGGAATTTTTGGTATTCTACAGTTCCGTACCCCAATCCTTATATGGAATTTAGGTATAATCCATGCGAATTGCCTTCGCTGATCATCCCTGTTTCACGTGTAGTTATAGTTAATTATTTGCGAAGATTCAAAACGCATGGATCATATAATAAGTGCACACAAGACACAGATAGGTGAACGGCGACACACAGAAACAGTAGGGCTGAAAATTTTGCATCGAATCACGATCAATCCCAGCAGTTTCTGGTAACCCGTCGAAGATTGTAGATGATACTTTGTTTGAAGAGAATTTGGGTGGCGCACAAGTGATAGATTACACCCAATATTACAATTTGAGAAACACGCACGTATGTTCAGTTACATTAGTGACATTCGTTTCCTGTGAGCAATTTGACGGTTACCCTATCAGAGGGCTATCTACGTTGTGAACATTTGCTTCGTTTACACGTTCGAGGTTTCTTCCCTATAGCGCTAACGATAGGTGTCCATCACTCCGCGTATACAATAAGGTATGGATTAGTGCAATGACTTTACCCTCAGATGAGCACTACTCAATAATCGCCATTCATTTTTGAACCAAGTGTGCCACAAACAGTATCACAGTAACGATGATAAAAATCATAGATAAACGTACATCCACAAATGTTTGATTTCTGAATATTCAAATGTTCACATTAGAACCGTTACAAATTCTGCACATTCAACTATAACGCCTTATTTATCAAAGGTCGTGAACGTATTTATGAACGATTGTCATACAATACCGATGGAATTTTCGTTAAATATTTTCGCTCAAAAATTTCTTCTAATGTGAAACTTCGTAAGTTTTTGCGGGCTTACAACTGCATGACATTTTTTGTACCTACACTGAATTCAATACATACCCAAATTTTGATCATTTATTTTAAGAACTTCGAATATATGTAAAACTTCTATCAGTACCTAAACAAACAAAAACAATGTCCATAAATTATTTGAACCTTAATAATATTTGTTACTTCTACTCGATCGATAGAGTTTGTACAATGATGCTTGCCAAATGTAAGAAAATACACGTTTAACGTATACACGTATTTATTATCGCCTCGCATTTGGCTGACTGAAATCCAATCAATAAACTATTCCCTTTTTAATTTTACTTAGTAAATTGATCGGTATTCATAAGTACATACTGGACTTGATCCCATTCTTAATCCGACTACGAGTCGACTGTGATTTCATTGCACTAATTCGAGCCTCAGTGTATACATATTCTTTATCGTATCCGATATGTTTTCCTTCCGACATTCTACATATCCTGATTTTTTTGTAACGATTACAATGATTTCCCAGATAAACTTGCGAGTGCTCCACCTCTGTTTCTTTCGAATTAAACGGTAAAGTGCACATGTTTTCTTCGGTGCAATGAAATGGGTAGGGGAAAACGTATTGAGTATACACAGCCGGATTCACACACAATTATTCCTTCCTTACGATACAAGAGTACCACAATTGTTTAGAAAAGACCTCTATATTGTCTCAATCGTTCTTATCGTTCTACCTGATGTCTTAAAGTATACATGATTGATCGTTTTGATTGGCCGATATTAGACTTCCTTCGTCTATGATAGGAAACAGGGTTGAATTCACTTACACCATGACATACGATCTCATAGAGTTCGATGGAATTTTGAAATTCATCCATCAGTTCTTTATGTAATACATACTTCCAGATTCACTCGAAAAGTATCCGTATGTACAATAAGAAATAATTGGAAGTACAATATCTCTCCATAGAGAGTACTTTTTTAATAAAGTTTGTAATTGTTCGAACGATAATAAGTTCCAATTTTTCTTTAGTCAGAACAGTTAGTTTCTCTTTCAATAACTTAAATCTCGGAAGAATAACTTTATCTACGAATATTTCTTCCTTCGAGGAACATAAAGTAGCAGGCGGAGACGTAACATGAACAGATTCGTTTAGATTTCATAATACAATTCTATAATCATTCCAGAGAGTATATAAGCTCTAGAAAAACATCTCAAATAGTAAAGAGAGGAATAATCGAAACTTTCGGCTCCACGAGTTTTAGTGTGATAATTATTTCAAAAGTCTTCATTTAGATGCTTATCGTCAGTATTCTTCTAATTTAATTTTCAATGACTATTTTCTTTTCCTCAATATAATTTTGAACGTGCAAAATACTTCAACCGTTCTTTCATCGCGATTTTGACGAAGTTTCAGACGTGTTTCCAGAGCTACTAATCAATATAAATCGTGTATTGCATTAGAAGGAAACTATTTTAAGTACCTCATGATAGAAAGAAATAATATCTTACGAAATTTTATCTTAAGTCCTAAAACTTGAACATAAATGGTGTATAATTCTAGGAATGAAGTTGAATAGGATATTTACATGTTTATTAGTGATGCCCGATACAATTTCGATACATGTAAATATCGATATACTGGTTCATGAATATCGATATTTTCTATCGACACTTCATGGCTTGATCGATATTGCCTTTCGATACGAATGTACCGATCTTAGAAATATTCTAACGCATGTGTCTCTAATTACATGTTTTTTAAAACCAAAAGAACAAAAAAATAACCGTAATGTATATAAAAATATGTACAACGCGTCAAGGAGTGTTCTACTTGATTTTATATAACTAAAAAAAGGAATGATTTTTTACGGATTTCTTTTTGCTATTATATTAATGTCGTATCAATACGCGTTAATACCGATACTTTCTGTCCCATATATATACTATGTATATCGTACATACTAAAAAAACATGACGAATGTGTCGAACATCGCTAATGTTTACATGAAATCGGTTCCCATAGCGTAGTCGTTCCAACGATTACAATCACGCGTCGTGGTTGCGGTGAATGCACTGTCAAAGGTCCTTCGTTAAAAAATAATTCTGCCTGTGCGCTCTACATAATAAAACCTACGGTCGAGCAAAATTAGAAGTTCGAAGCCATATATCGTGTCTGCGAGACTCCGTTCGAGGTAGGTTCTTTTCTTCAACGTTATTCTGATTGAGCATCTAAAAGGGACAGACTGTGCAGATTGGGGGAGATGGGGGCGTGTGTCTCGCGAATATCAGGCAACGGGACGATGCCCTTTCTCGTTGATCGTCCACGGAGTTTCCCTAATTTTCAACGCGTTCGTGCCTGTCTGTTACGGGACGATAGGTAGGCAGTGTGCGTGTGTATGTGCGTGATCGTACAGAAATGATTCCCACGCAATGGAGAAACAGGATTGATCGATGGAACGATCACACTTCCATGACTCGCTGCACGGAGTTGATATCGAGTGCACAGCTGCCGGTCGTGTCAGGGGAATCCTGAAGGTATATTTCGGATGGCGTTATTCCTTCGGTTCTCATGTCGTCCCTCACCCGTTCCACCTAGAACAGAGGTTTCATTCGTTACTTTCAAAACAATTTATTAGGTCATCTCGTATGTAATGCGGCTTTACTTTTCGATATAGGTAATACGCCTATTTTCCAGTTCTATGGCCAGTTCTTCAATAGTTCAATTATTCAATAGTTCAATAATTCTTCAATAGTTCTTCAATTATTGACGATTTATTGCTCACAAGGGATGTTCGCGATGTGATACATACCGATTTTTCTGTAATTTTGCTGACTTGTTTATACGACTAACTTATGAATTTTGCTGTACTTGGTGCTACTTGTAGATTTTAGGGGAGAAACCACCATTTTTATCCAAAGCATCCCTTTCACTTATTCACATGGAACTCCCCAGATAGCACACAGACGGCCTCAAACGGCTTAGTGATGGCTGAAAGGCGTGTCAGACCTAAAATTGCCGTAAAATGGGCGTCTACAAAGAGTTATGTGCTATCCGGATCGTAACGTACAAAAAATATCGAAAAAAAGTGTAGGCAAATTTTATATCATTATTAGTTGATGTATCGGTAGCAGAAAATTTTCAAAAAATTCAAACATTTCTTCCTGTTGATATATGAACAACTAAAAACGATATAAAATTTATCTAAACTGTTTTCAATATCTTTTGTAGCTTTTTTGTAAATTATTTCTTACGAAACTTATTAATGGTGTTCATTAAAATGAATCTTTGAATATGTACGTAATTCGCCAATATACCACTTTTGGCAGGTGACGGTGTTAAACTTTATAAACCGAGTTAAATCAAAGAGTACCTATGTATTTTATATTTCAAAATCTAGACTACTAAGATAGTTGGAATAAATTAAAATAGATCTGAATACAGGTCAAATGAGAGGTGCAGAAAGTGATTGAACATTTCTTCGAATCTAGTAAACACAGAATTTTCTCCTTTTAGTTGTTGGTTTAGCGTCGTTCACGTGGAGCAATTACGATTATTTTTTTTTAAATTTCATAGAATTCCAAACCTGTCGAAGTACTCTCAGCAAATTGAGACCGGCGACCTTTTTTAAGTCGTGCACGTTCCATTTCCCACTTCGAAGGAGTTCAGCGAACAATTCTGGATACTTGGAGACATCCTCCAGACCACGCGGTGTTCTGTTAACAAAATCGATTATACCCTTGTGGCAAGCACAACATCGACCGTGTTTGATACAATCGTTGTAGAAATAGCTATTCCTATCATCGTATTTTCGTGGAAACTTTCTTATTTTATAACTTGCAGGTCACAGGGTTAAATATTCCAATATAAAGAATTCATCTTGCATTTTTTTCTAGTATAAAAATTGACATAGGTAACACTGAATAGTATACATCTTTACATAAAAATTTTTCGATGTTTTTCTATTAAAAATATTTTCAATATACAAAATATCTGAAGATTGGTGAATTTATTTTATTGTCGAATATGCAACAAGCCTCATGTTTATATGCTGCTATGATGTGTATATGCTACTGCTTCAAGAAATAAATTAATTTGACATAGTTTTATTAGAACAGTTACTAAGACAATTCCTTATTTAGCATTCTTTTTATTATTATGTAGTTGCAGCTAAGATTTATTTAACTCTCTTTATTATATAAATACAAAAATTTTTTCAGTCCATCAAATCATCTACACTCAAGTGTATTAGTTCAATTGGGTTCGATTCTTTTATTGTATGAAAATCAATTTAAATAAGACGTTGAACTCTTTTTTACAATAAAATCGAATACGTTGAGATATGTAACATAAGTGACCGCGATGTTTTTTAACAAAGAAGAAAAAGTATTTAGGCTCGTATAATTACATTTCCACTACAATTAATTTTCCGTTCGTAGGTTTACAATAATTTGTACAGATATAGTAAATTTCGCAATGCGACAAATAAATTCTATCCACAGGAAGGTGTACGGTGGTCCCGGTGCACCCACAAGGCGATAAATTTTTTCGGAGCAACACTGCCGCAGTGAAAAGGTTAATTAGAAATGTGTACATACCCTTACTGAAACTTACTGCTCGAATTTGATCTCGAGTCGTGATACTTTAGGTTCGAGCCAGTAACGCAGGTTCGCCGTCTTGATAAGTCATTTATCGATTTAAACTGTGATAATTTTGCATATTTTACAAATAATTTACGCATAATATTTAGATTCTGCAAAGTTTAACTGTAATGTAAAAACAATCGAAAATCATTCTTGACCATAGAACATTAATTTTTTAGGGTTTTTTCATTTTTCTAAAAATTGTTTTCTAACACTGGAATGTTAACTCTCAAATCGATATCGTTCCTTTTTCAATCTGTGAATTTTTATAAGATGAAGGAGGAAGGTATTTTCAGTTTAATATTTTAATAAAAATATTGCGGTTATGAAGACGATAATTTTCTTCCTATAATTTCCCTTTTCGACCTCCTAATGACATCACCGGTCCCATTATGTATAATAGGTCTAAAGATGTTAAAGAAATTTTAGAACAAATATTTCAAAGTGGATGTAAAAGAAATGTTTCTTTCACTTATTAACGGCGGAATTGGTGGTACCACCCTACAGCAGATGATTCTATGTACACAAATAATTATTAAATTGACTATGATTTCTTTTCATAGAGCTTAGTTTTGTTCTCGAGAAAATCGAGTACGAAACTTTAGGTGTATCTGAATTTGAATACATTTCGCTGGAGTGTTTGCTTATTAATAATATTTTTTCTCATGATAATGTTTGCAAATATTAACAGTGATATATTATTAGCAGTTTCCACGATAATTTAAACTTTATTGACAGGTAGCCTATCAATCGACTTAAATTTCAGTGATTATATTGTAGATGAGAAGCTTATTAATTTAACTTATACCAGGGTTACAGAAGAAATTGTTATATTATTCTATTGGAGTTCTTGCTAGTTCTATAACTGTAATTTGCTACTGTGATTGAACTGTTTAACACTTTGACTGCTACGTCACCCAAATATGGATGACACGTACATTCCAAAGAGAGCTTGATTGTTAAAATGTCATTACAAAATTTTGCCTAAAATTAATATCGCAGTATAATTTAAAACAAAACCAACAGTCTGTATTACCTAAACGCATGTATTTTCGACGATTTATGAATTAAAAAATTAAAAACAGTGTGTCTGAACACGTATGAGCTTTTTGACTGTGGCGGTCAACGTGTTAATAATTCCTCATTGCCGGTTGATCGTTTGATCTATTAAACCTATTAAATAGCAGCCGGTAAGTAATGTGTTAATATAAATTGACAGTTAAGAAAAGGTTCTTACAAAGTAGAAAATATCGAACCGCGGTCTATATTTCTTCTAAGTAGTAACAGTAAATTATGGTCAGACGCAGAACCCAACCGCACTTCGAAGTTCTCGAAAACGAAGCTTCGAACTAACAAATTTTCTCCTACATTTTCGATTTACTTTTACACAAAGAATCAGCTGTTGCTGCATCGTGGCACTTCTACCACTCCTGAGGGGGGTTAGGTTGGTGTGCGAACCCGATTTTTTTGTAACTTTGCAGACGAGTAGGGGCCTCGAGTTACTAACTGCGTTGCATTAAGTTTTAATAATAATTCATATTTAGGGTAGGGAAACGGTTCTTATATACATACCGACGTAAAAAACATTTTAATGGTTTGCTTTGCTTTAAAAAATTTTCTACCTCTTTACTTATGTGTAACATGTTGACTACCATAGTGAAAAAAGTCGTACGTAGGAAGACCCATTTTATTTAATTCTTTAAGTCATAAATCGTTGAAAATATATGAGTTTTGTTAATTGTTAACTATTTCGTTAAACCTACGCGTTGCGATTGAACAGTGTCTTTCGTTAATATCTCATATTTTTTCTAAGGAAAAACTTGTTCCAAATCGCTTCGCGAGTGATCCATTTTAGGGACCTGCAACAGTTTCGTTACACCTTGTATACGTGTCATCCACATTTGGATGACGTGGCAGTCAAAGTGTTAAATAATATTAATAAACTCAACAGTAGAAATATTTACGAAAATTATCCTACGTACCTTATAGAAATCGCAAAAAACTACTTCCAAATATACCTACTCTGGCCGAAGTAAGCCATTCTAATTTAAAAAATTCCTTATAACGATGTTTAGGGGATAGGCAGGATAATTTTCGTAATTATTTCTGCTATCCAGTTTATTAATACTATGTAAACATAAGTAGGGGGGCAGGAAAACTCAAAAAGCAAAGAAAAGCTTTAAATGTGGTTTACGTCGGTACATATGTATACAAGGGGTGTGTTCCTACCGTAAATATGAATTTCCGCCGAAATTTATCCCATTAAGTTCCAAGCAGTGAAATAAGGAAATTTTTGCACATGTAATTATTCTCTACTTACATATAAAAGTGTATAAGAGAGAATGTAAATGCTAACAACAAACTGTTAAGACCGGTACTTTTTGTGTAATAAAGTATTGCGTTTATGCAATTGCAGGCAATTTTGTATTGAAAAACGTAAATAAAATAATTTATATATTATTTTGTCAATGTATAAAAAATTTATTACATGAAGAAAGTGCACAAAAAGATTTCCATGACTTGAGAAAAAATTCGTTTACATCATAGTGTTATACATATACAGGGTAGGGCAATAACTATTACCACCTCAGATATCTGCGAAACTATAAGGTCCACAGAAATATTTGTTGAAACAAAATTGCACAATACGAAGAGAGTCATCCGATGGCGCTAATAGTTTTTTTGCAGGCGGAGGTACTTTGAATATTTCAAGGTCACCTCCATTTGTATAAATGGATCGATATGTTTTTGTTTCCGTAAAATAACAGAGAAGCTTAAAACGAGTTCAACGACTTATTACATAAGATCACAGTAGTTGTTGGAAATGATGATCATCACTATCAATACAACACTGGATTCTTTTTATGACTGATTAACGTGCAAGTCTTATAACGGCAGAAGTTATTGACGCACAGACTGCAATTGTTCCCTGTTGCATGTCTCTTGAGGTGTAGTTGGTATTTCTTTGTACACTTTATCTTTCAATGTTCTCCATAGCAAGAAATCTAGAGGTGTCAAGTCTGGTGAACAAGCTGGCCACGATATTGGACCGCCGCGCCGGTTCCAATCCAACGATTTTGAAATTTTTCATCGAATTCCCCTCGCGGAATTAATGAATAATGTGCTGGGCATCTATCATGTTTGTTGCATCCCTTATGCACCGCAATTCCCCTTTTTTTATTCTGAGAATTCACTGGGTTTGTAAGGCCCAATGCACTTGTTCGTGACGATGCACGGGTCGCTGGATTGCGTCAATGATTTAACACAATCCTCGTTGAAAATGGCAGGATAACGAATTGATTGGATATTGATTAACAATAAACTCACAATTATTTAATGATTGTACATAGAAAAACAAACTATTAATACAACTATTGAACGATGAATAACTGACGAAGTATAATACACAATGTAAGTTATGTGATTACTTCGGAGTCTTATACGTAAGTGTATACAGAGCGCAAGTTGTTGCTGACTCTGTCGCTGTTGCTGGTAGACTGCCTTGGAAGTGGCATTGAAAAGCCATGAAAATATACATTTTGCCTCATTGGCTGAGAAGGATGGAGGCGGTTGCTAAAAATATTGACCACTGATTGGTTGCCCTGAAGGAGGAGAAATCCGTTGGATTTTCCAAGACGTTATGGAAGGGGAACACCTCTCCCTCAGGTTGACGTGTACATGTGCAATGGGGCTTTGGGGCCAACTCCGAATCGATCGAAGCGCTGATGTAAACAATTGGACGCCAGCGGAAACACAAAATCGATATTTGGGACGTCTTGATAATACGACATTTAGCGGCAGTACCCACAAATAAATTTTGTTCCCCGTTACCATCAAGCTGGGTTTGTGTATTTCCTACGCGAAGACAGTGTTGCCGGAAAGTATCGTGTTTCTGACGCTGTTGCCTCATGTCCCGCGTGCAATTCTACCCGTGAGGAGAACGATGGAATAGCTACGGCCTACGGCTCGTGGCGAGATTTCGATTCTCGCCGAACGTCTAAGGCCAGCGACCGACCCATCGGCATACAATGTAAACAGACATAGATGAGATAAGGAATGACGCACGAATGAAA